AAAAACCGGAAAAACATGAAAATAAATCTAAGGAATGTAGAATTAATTAAATGAGTCATAACATTGGATATATTCATTTACAATAAGAAATTTATTTGATTATATATTTGTATGGTTGGAGTCTCGCGAATCGGAATTCGCGACAAATGCTGCTATACAGAATGTCAGTCCCGTTCACTACGTGTTTTATGTGTTAGGCTTTGTTACCCGTTTCATAGGTTGCATTGAAAAAAAATTGCTGGGAAAAGCCTTGAAAATTTTTTCTACTTTGTTCATTGCGACATTTAAGACAGTGAGCAGGAATTATTAGTTGATATAAATGGCGCTATCAGTCATCAGAAAAATATTTGCAGAAAGTCGTAATAAATTCTTTTTTTTTTTCGTTTAACCTGAGAACTGTGCATTTTCAGAAATTATTTATGCGCAAGGTTTAGCTGCTGAGGAACAGCTGTTAAAGTTCTTTTCGGGTGAGCGGAAACAAACGGTTTTCTGTGTTGTATACAATATGCTGTTCGAAACAAAGAAAATACATCCAGTAATTTATTCGTAAGTTATCAATTATTAAACAGTCGTTAATCATTAGACAATATATACGATTAAGTTTTTGGCTGTTACAACAGCTTCCAATTTTAAGCTTCCAATTTATCGTCATCTTTTTTTTCTTACTAATCAGTTCCGATTGGTGAATTGTTTGATAAACGAGTTATCCGAAGTTCATGAAAAGCACACTTGATCTTGATAGACATGGCGATGTAATATTTGAGGGAATTATTTTAGCCTTTCCACCTATGTTTTCTGTGAATTTGCCCAAATTAAAAAAATTTTTCATTTTTAGTGTGTTGAACTCAATGAACAGTAAAGAACTCACAGCAACGGTAAACAAATTCACAGATTATTTCATATTTATTTTCAAAAAGAATCTCCCTTCAGACGATCAGCAATTCGCAGCAGTAAGTTGTACAGTACACTTAGCTTTGTCCAAATGGTGAACCTAGGAATCTACTTTGTTACTTTTCTTCTTTTGCATTGCGTTTGTATGACATTCCTTCGCCTTTTGGGACTTTAGCGCGGTACTGCGGTGTTTCTCATAAAAGTATATAGTATCATAAGAATTTACTGCTGATGTTCAAATTAAAAAAAAAAAAAATCGTTTCGCAGTTTTGACCGAATTTATCTTTTTTCTAGTTTTTAACATTTAGATGATTGGGATTTTAAATGACATGGTATTTAATTTACACCTGATATCGCTCGATCGGTTGCTTCTTTCTCTTGTTCTTCATCCAACCGATGATGGAGCCACCGAAATTGCTATGCTTATAATCCATTCTTTGGCATGTTTATTTTATATCTTTGTTTATAGTCACCTTCTATCCTTATAGCTTATTAAAAAGATATTTTGTAGCGAAAAAAGGAAAATGTAACTATTTTTGTCCCAAAGTAGGTTGGGCCAAAAAATTGAGAAAGGGAACTGAAACATGATAGTAGAAGGATATTATTATACTGGATATTTGTTTGCTTGTGAAGTTTTTCGATTTGAGTCTTTACATGTACTCTCGAAATACAGGTGAACCTTATAGCATTTAATACAAAAAATCCTTTATGTCTCTCTACTTGGTTTGTTCATTTGCTTTTCGTGTGAAAAAACAGTGAGTTTTAGAGCGCGTATTATTGTTTTAGGTTGGCTCATATCCTGATTTGCATAATCGAATTACGGCGTTGGTGCACATAATTCCATCAAATAAAATTGGCAACACTAGTGCTGCATTTTTTAATAAAATGTCAGAATATTACTCGGTGAGGTTTTTGTACGAACTTGGTGATATTTCATTTCCTCTATTTTTTTTTTTTTTGCTTTTTGAGTGTTCTTTTTTAGCAATTCCCGGAACTGTCATATAGAGAAATGGAAGCAAAAATGAGGAGAGAAATGCAAATTGAACTAGGTATGCGACCAATCGAACAGCCAACTCTTAGTCCAGAACTTCATATGCCAATTTACTATGGTAATATTGTGGAACGCATACTTCCGGTACGTAATTGACAGACATGTTTCACAGTTTCCTTAAAAATTGACTACTGTGTCGGAATATTTGGGTGCAGTTTTCGAACAAGAATCCATTGGTTGTATTATACAAACAAGAAAAATGATTTAAGCTTGTAACAATCTTGATTTTTTTGCATTTTAAACGTTTCTTCTTCTGATCATACTCATATTACTAAGATATTTCAATTTATTAATAAAGAATAAGATTGACACTGTAACAGAGAATTACGTTTTCTCCCTGAAAATTTGGAACGATCCTTTCGTGGCATACAGATGAATTCATCACACCGGATAGCTCTTCATAGAGCAAATCCTGCGTTCTTTTTTTGTTCCCTTCATCTGCTTTTCTTTTTTTTTCGCTTTCGATTCCAACTTTTAAAATTTTGCAACTGCGGTGACCTAATTTCGGGGGGTTTTTCAATTCGCCCTCCGAATTACTTGGGTGTTAAGATTTGTTGATTAAATTTATTAAAGTCTCAATTGTAAAAGCTTAGGAAGTTTATTTGATTGTAACCTATGCAGTCTAGATTGTCATTCATTTGAGCGATGTTAATTTGTTTATAGATTGTAGACATCATTTTATTCCGTGCGATAGAAACTGTAGTTGCTGACCAACTATTTACGACACTGCTGATGTGCTTCAAACCCTGCTATCGATATCACCGTAATTTTCCATATTTAAGCCTTACTGGAGAGGAATCTTTCTTTATTTGTTCTTTGTGAGCTTATTCTAGTTAAAATAGGGAATTGGCTTTCAATTTTATGTGTTAGGATTGCTGAGCATCCAACTTTGTTCGGGATTTATGTTTTATTACATAAATATGGGCAACGGGGAAGGATTGTATATTGTTTTAGTGGTTCAGAAAAAATGTGGGTTGGATAGTAGTTACACACAGTGATAAAATGAATCCGTGTTATAGCACAGCCAGCAGCTTACATGTACAGTGTCTTGTATTGCTTGGACAAAACCATTTCACATACAGTTCGTGCCAGGGATTTTGTGCTGGAAATTTGTGGACAGCTGGAAGATAGGTAACCACATATTCAATTTTATTGAAAGATGCACTTTTCTGAGTCGTTTAGACTTTTAAAATGATGCGATCTAGGTTCTACTATCTGTCAGCATAGTTGAGCAAGACTCATTCTAAAACATTCCTCACCATATATGCTTCATAGATTTTGGAGGTGAACTTTTCCCTTAGGTTATTGAATGGCGAGTTAGTACAGAAATTTGATTGGGTTAGAGGAATTTTTAAGGGATGGTAAATACGCTCTCTTAACACCATCATTTATTTCCGACAATCATCAACTGTCACTGCCTTCTCAGTTTTGTCAGGCATTAGTGGATCGCATTTTGCAAGCTTCCAACTACGCTCATCAGCCACCAGCTTTCGCTTACAAAGTAAAAATGATTTCATTTCAGTGTTACAGTTTTTTGTTGAATAATATTTTCAAATTGGATTGTTGATTCAATTTATCAGTTAATATTCAGGACTGGAGATTCGCGGAGATGCCACCTGCAGGGCAAGCCCTCACTGGCGCATGCATCGAACTGCTTGCATCTCCACATGCACCAGTGATTACAGCCCATGCACTCATTGATTTGGTCTTTATTCGGCCCTTACACCAACCGTTCGTTTTTGTGAATTGTGTTTTCCCATTATTTCTCTTCCTTACCCTTCTCAACTAAGAATTGCTAGCATTAACTTCATGACATTACCTTGATATCACTGGTTCGACGCTGTGGGCAGTGGCGAGTATATCTGAATTTTGTTGCATATCACACCTTAAAATGTTGTGACCTAGTGAAACTTCGGAAATGAATTTGTGGTTTCTCAGCCTTTTTCCAGATATGCCACTATCAATGCAGTCGCTCTGATTCTGACAGCCCTTCCAGTTTCTTTCCAGCAAGTTTTTTATGACCATATTGTATCTGTGCTCGATTCGGAAGCTCTGCATGGTATGACTTTTCTTAACAGTTTCGTTCTATTCGAAGCTTTTAATAAAAAATACAGATTTTAGGTGATCCATCTGTTTGTTTCGGCAGTTTAGAAAGTGAATGCTTGTTGCTGACCGAAAATCAATTGCTGACGAACCTTGCACTCGGGCATGCTTATCTTCAACACTGCAATGCAGTCCGTGTTCGCTTCTTCTTATTGCTTTACGTGAATTTAAAAAAAAAAAAAACAGTTTTATATAGAAATGAAAGTTTTTAGGAAAATTTTTTAAAAGGAAGAGGATAAAACACATTTATTTTAAAAACACTTTTTTTTTATTTACCTTATTTGCTGAGTTAGAAATTCCTTGCTATCCTTACTTTGACTTCCATTTGTAAACATTCATAAAGTTAAATTTCAATAAGTCAGTGTTCTAGAGTTCACTGGCAGCTTTACCTGAATTTGTGCGTGACCAGCTTGCACCAAAACTAGTCACGGAAGCGCAACTTATATTCGTACTTCGTCTCGTTGTGCCCATTTTGCAACGATTTTACGATGCCAAGGAAAGAAGCAAGCAGATACAGGATGTGTGTATTATTGCCATTTTTTCATAACTGTTTAATACTTTTTTAAATTTAATTTTCTATACTTAATAAGGGATGGTTTATATATTATTGATATCATTTGTGATAGATTTGTGCATAAGCTTTCAGTTGCTGAAAGGATAAAAATCGCTTCTATAATTAAACTGAAGCATTTAACGGAGTTCATACTAATTAATGAGCAACGAAAAGGAAGTTTGACTAATGGGTTTAAAAATACTTTGTTATGTTAAATTTGAAGTTAGATTTTCGAATGTATCTCAGATTTCATTTTACCAGGATATTTTTTTCATATCACTATCTTCAGAGTGTTATATCTTTCACTTCGTCAACAGTTTTTTTTTATTCTTACAAAGAACCAGTTGTTTATAAAAAACAAAGTTCGAGGGAAAAAATGATTTTAGCTTGCTGTGGATGTTTATAAGATGACAGTGAAAGTAAACGAACGAGCAGGCATACTAAAATACGAGGATTCAATTTGCGACTTTTTATATCATATGAAGTATATGTACGTTGGTGATTTTGTCAAAAATGAAGCAGAACAGGCAATACAACGACTGTCACCATCTATGCGAGATAAACTGAAATATATCTCACATACGCAAATAAACGCTACCATTGATCTGCCGCATAAGCTCGCTCCTGGGTCATCCAGTCTTTTTTAGAATTTGTCATTTAACGGGTTTCCTAAGTATAATTTGTTGCGTTGTCAGAAGTTGTTAGACTTTGTACAGGATCTATTAAAATAAAGTATTTAACGAGTCTCAGTTTGCTTTCTATATTGCATAACCGTCCTGCGGTTTGCTGCATGCTGTGATAATTTCAATAGTTCTTGATTTATTTAACAAAAGTGTTAGCAAAGTGTGAGATACTACAAATTTGTATGTAGTCTAAATTTGGTGCATGTTTCTGGTTTTACAGTTCTTTATGATTTTGATGTTACTGCCTTATATTTCGCATTTTCAGCGCGGTATTTGAAGTGTTTTTCTCATAAGGACGAGATGTTTTGAAATATTTAGGTTCTAAGTGCTGCAAAACGGGACTTATGGATGGAGCATGATGCTGCAGATCATACTATTCAGTTCTCTCAAACAATGAAACTCATACGAGGGGTAGGTTTATTTTCGCCTGTATAAGCTCCCAAGTCTGTAGAATATTTGCGCAAATAAAAGCAATATTATTCAAAATAAGCGAGTGTTCAATTTTGTTCGTATTTATGGTTAACGTAGGATTACAAATTTAACTTTCAATGCAAAATCTCATTCGATTTTCTATCCAAATGTTAACAGTTATAGAGCTCTTGGTACTGGGGCAATATGTCATGGAGAGATGCGGAAAAAGTATTAATGAATCAACAACCAGGAACCTATCTCGTACGAGATTCAGCTAGTGATCGCTATATTTTCACTATATCATATCGAACAAAACATTCTGTTCATCATACACGTCTTGCACAGCATGGTGGAAATTTTTGTCTTGGAGGTAATTTAATTCTTTTAACATAAATTATTAAAATATTTTGCATTAAAAGGATAGTTGAAATTTTATTATTATTGTTATTATTAATATTATTATTATTATTATTATTATTATTATTATTATTATTATTATTATTATTATTATTATTATTATTATTATTATTA